TGAAGGTGTATTCTAATGTACGAATTTAATGTGTAACTATATAATTATCTCTTCTAAATTGTGATTTATTATATCCACATGTGTTGCTTAAGAAAAAAAATTATTTGTAATATGTACTAGCATGGGAAGGGGGACTGATTTTTCTTTATAAAATATTCATTAGTTTTCGTGGTCCGCTTGACCAATTAAGCAGAGTGGTAGAGCTGCGGCGTATCTAGCCGAAGATCGTGGGTTCGAATCCCGCTCGTGACACTGACTTTTTTTTCAAAACTAAAAACCTTAATTAATCGATTTATAAAATATTTTTTTAAGGGATTTCCTAAAATATAACCCATACAATATTTATATCCAAATGACCAGGAGAGTGTAAGGGATTTTTTCCGAAGGTATTTGAACTACGATGAACCATCGGTGTGCCGATGTTTTTGAAAAAAAAATCCCGTTTGTATGTCGTATTCGAATTTAGGGCCGCTGGATTCGACCCCGGTATCTTTACCTGACAGTGATGCGGCCACCGAGGCCCCAAGGAATTTTTTAAGACAATAAAAACAATTTTTTATGATACTGTCACCCCTTAAAAGAAATTTTAACATTTGCTTTTTGTCATCCCGAAATGTTTCGTACAGGACACTAAATAACGAAATTATTTATAAGTCTAGACAAGCAATGGCAAATCTTGAAAAAATAGTTGCACGCAGAAATATCACACTGACAATTAAAGTCTGCATAGTTAAAGCCTTTCCCAGTAGTAATTTATGACTGCGAGATCTGAGCCATAAGGAAAGCGTAGGGAAGGAACTGCGTTGGACGAAATTTCTGTGGGTGCCTTGCATGAAGATCAAATCAGTCCACACTGCAGCAAATAAAGGCAGACAGGTCACACTATATTAAAGACAAAAAGGAACTACTTTGGCCACATAATGAGAATGCAGGATAACCTGCATAAGAAGCTGATTCAAGGTAAAGTGGCAGGCAAAAGGAGGGGCCGAACAAAGGCAAGGTTGATGGATGATATTCGAGAGGTGACGGACTAAACCATGGGGGATGGCCAACAGGAAGCTATGCCATGGCTTCATAAGTCAAGAAGAGTCGGAACAGACTGAACGAATAAAGAATGAGAAAAAAATATGTTCCGTGTGGCCTGTAGTAAATGGAATTAGACGAATAAGCTCTGATAAGTGTGGGGAATCAATCTGATTTTTAGATGCACAACAAAAAATACCATATTTTTTAATAGATTATTGTTATAATTTTAATCTGGTTCTATTGGTTTATTTGACGCCCTGCCATGAATTCTTACTTTTACCTTTACGCTCCGGCACCCACGCGCCTGAGAATCCTAAACAATAAAATCACAAACGTGATGTGAAAAACCTGCACGAATTCACAACAAACCAAATATGTCCGTACGTTTATGAAAAAGTTATCCTTTTATGGAAAACTCCAGATTAAATTTGATTGCTTGATTATTTTTTTTAAATTAGTAGATTCAACGACTTCTTTACTATCAATAAAGCTTTTACCCCAAATAAAATACATAATTTATTTTTATCTCTAAAATAAAACAATCGCATAACAAAAATAGACATCACAAAGAGTTTGAATAAATACACGTCTAACTACATAAATCAGAACTTTTACATAGGTCAGATGGAACGACCATGGCATTAACACCATTTACACGTTTTACCCAACAGGTATTCCAATAAAAGTTCTGGTTATCAGAAAGGCACAATATTTCTTGATAAGCAGACTTTTTAGATAAGGAACACTAGGCTTTTTCCTTTGAAGAACATGAACATTTTTTATACAGTGCTTCTAACCAAAGTGAAAATCTTGAACTCCTTGATTTTAATACCTCTCTTAATGAGACCTATGATAAAATAAACATTTAAATTTCTCTGACGCCACTAATATTCCTTTAACTCACCTTTATTAGCTAAGTTTTGAGCAAGTTTTCTTTTCGGAATTTTAAAATTTCCAAATAAATTTGATATTATTCTTTTCAAGTCTGATTTCAATTACGGATTGGGAACCTGTGATCATATGGAATATATTTGCTATATAAACGACAATTTTGAGAATGGTAAACAGGTAATGATATTATGTAACTTATCCAGAACTTTTACTACTGTCCGGCACAAATTTTCCTGTTACGGTAAGAGGTGCAGTACATATTATAAAGTCAGGAAATAAACAGTGCAAATAAACTGATTAGGTTTCGAGGTCCACTTGGTCAGATAAATTGCTTTCAATTAATTAATCTTTAATTAAGGTTTTGGTTGAGATAAAAAAGTCAGTGTTACAAGCGGGATTCGAACTCACGACCTTCGGCTAGAAGTCTACCACTTGCGCTATCGTGACTCGATCCAACTTCCCATCTTAACCCCACCTTAAGAATTTTCCCTCCTTTTTGCCATTTTTCAAATGTGTAATCTATTTGATTCTCGGCGACAAATAAAATGGCCACGGAGAGGTTTAGTGAAGTATACTTCATTTTGCTTATTACATTTATTAGGTTTCGTGCTCCACTTGACCAGATAAAGTCTTTTCAATTAATTAATCTTTAATTAAGGTTTTGGTTGAGATAAAAGAAGATTTGTCGCCGAGAATCAAATAGATTACATTTGAAAAATGGCAAAAATGAGGGAAAATTCGAAAGGTGGGGTTGAGATGGGAAGTTGGTGTCCGAGTGGATCGAAGTCACGATAGCTCAAGTGGTACAGTAGCGGCGTATCAAGCCGAAGCTCGTGGGTTCGAATCCCGCTTGTGACACAACTTTTTTATCTCAACCAAAACCTTAATTAAAGATTAATTAATTGAAAAGTGCAAATAAATTCTAATCAAGAAGATATTTTATTACGACTACCACAAGGATCAATTTTTGAGCCCTTTATTGTCTGTTGGTTATGAGGATGACTCTTACATATTGAAAAACTTTAATAACATTTCATTCTACCAACTATATTTTACGTTATATTTACAAATCAGTTGAGTTTCAGGAAGATGCCGGCCTATGGAATAAATAAACTATTTTATTACATGACAATTTTACAATGTTAAACTCGTTAGACGTATCCAAAACGTTTGATACTGTCCAGCAAGAACGCATTAATTTAAATTAATTAAATGCGAATAAAAATTCCAGTCAAGAAAATGACTTATGTGCAATACCACAAGAACGTATATCAATACTTCAGGAGGTTATCCTCGATGTAAAATTGAACTAAAAAGTCCGTATTGTCCAACGCTGATTCCAAATTTTTTTCCAGATATCTCGCTTTTTACGTTACACCAACCATTCACAACTTATTCCAACAAGTCCAATTTCTAATAAAACGCTAATCCTACTTTACAGTTGATAACACTAATAGAACGAGCGTTAAATATCCTATTAGGTTCATTTTTTTAAAAATGTATTATGACCTTAAGCAAACAAAGAACAATATTACTTAGAACGTAGCCTTGTACGAGTTCGCAAAGTTCTTGTCTAAAGTTTAAGATCGTCTTGGTTTTGTAAATACTGACAGATATGGTGCCAACAAAAAAGTTTCCCCTAGCAGTTAGCAGTAAATACATGCACTTAACTTCTCAAAGATCAGTTATAACTTATCACCAATATAAAATTAAAGTTTAATTATAACAATTAACTCTTTTAGTTACAAATTGTTAAAAGAAAACTAATTATTAAGATTTTGAAACGAATTTGGTTTTTTGGTACAAAATTGAACATGGTTAAAAACAAATTTTTAAAAATTAAATTAAATGTTCAAAATGTCCACGTTCTTTGATTTGTGATCTTTAACAAGGTGAACATTTTATTTAATTTTAGAAGCTTTTTTCTTACGTACAATTTTGTATCAAAAACCACATATCACATTTTCTTACCTAGAATTTTTATTTACATAATTTAAGTTAATGCCTTCTTGGCGGACAGTGTTCTGTATAAGTCATAATACATTCGCCTGTACAGAACCATTTTCACAATTGTTGCCACAATGTAAACTTTATTTGGTAGAGTCTACTGTTATTAAAACTTTACAATATATAAAAATAAATAAAATTCAGATCAGCCACATAAATAACAAACAATAACGGGCCAAAAATTGATCCGTGGGGTAGTCCAAATAATACATTTTCTTTACTAAAATTTAATTTGCATGTTTCTGTCTTGAAGAAAACTGTGACGAAAAGATAGCGTACTGGACAGCGTTAAAAACTTTAGATAAGTCACAAAATATATTGTCCTGTTTACCTTGCTCAAAATTGTCATGTATACAGCCCATATATTCCATAAGATCATACGTTACCTTGAATATCGAATAATAATTATTTCAATTAATTATTCTTTTTATCTCGATGCAAACATCAAAATTTAAAAGGTTCAATGTAAGTTAGGTACGTCTGCAACGCTGCAACGTGATCTAAATTTGTTGCCATATTTTAGAAAAACCGAACGGATAATTTAGGGATTGTAGGGAAAAGGAAGGAAAGAGAAACCTTGAAAAAATGTTGAATGGAAAAACTAATATCAAAACATGGGTGAAAAAGGATTGAATATATACGTACTTTTTGAATATAATTAAGCGTGGAATCCAGTTTCTAATCCTGACCCCAATCAAACCAAGTGCATGCAGTTAACACCTTAACTCAAGCTAATTCTATACAATCTTTCTACGAAATTCTTACTGCTTAGGAGGTCTTTAAGCAGTTAAAACTATATTAAATAGCCGAATCTCACCACTCAGTTATACGACGAAGAACGTCTCCAATTATTCTTGTGTTTTTTCCTATTATTTTTCATTGAACAATGTGTATTGTCAGTGACAATAGTGGGCGGTCATGCCACGTAGCTATGATCACCGCGTGAAAACTGCCACAGTTCCGAGCCGTGAGCACAATAAACTTATTACAAACCATACTGAACAGAGTAGAACGAAACAAAAAACCCATATTTCTACTATTCAAAAGCTTCTTTTTTTTTTTGTTGGTTCGCTTACCTGTAAATTCCTTCGTTCTGGCGGTTTACACAATGCTCGTATGAAATGCGGGTCTATATAATCTGTCATGGCATTCCGCCGACCTTTCCACTAATTTGCATGTCCAAGTAATCCTGCAACATAATCCATAAATTACAAACTTAAAACAAACAATTGCCGGTTCAAAGTGAACTATTCGTTTTTTTTGAATCGTTGAACCATTGATAAGATCTCTTTTAATATATGTCAATAGCAACGTTCAAAATATTGTGCAAATTGACGGAGAAAAACGCTCATTTGAAATGTTAACCAAGGCATGCATTATTAATGTAAAGAAAAAGTGAAGGGAAGCTTAAAATAAATTTACAAACCGTGTCTACTTGAAACGAGATATTTTAAAACAATCAGAACCCACCAGAAACTGATTAAGCACAAGTACCTTTTTACAATAAATCTTAGGGGCTTTTTCGGCGAAACAAAATTGCTTAGCTCGGTCGTTCCGTAGATCCAACTCCAATCCGCAATAATTGGAAGAAAAAACCTAGGCCTATTTATGACCCTATTGAATCCAATCTAGCGTGAAATGGGCGTAAAAATGTTGGGACTTTTAGCGAAAGAAAAAGAAAATATTACAAACCATATTGTTAACATTATCGTTTTAAGGTGATGGACCTGTAATTTAGGTAAAATGATAGTCGTTTCCTATCATTTTGGCATTCCTCTTGTTTTAGCCTGTCAGACGAGTTTCGGCTTCTAGCCATCTTCAATGATACATTCTGTAGGTACCTCACCCTCCTTATATCCTTGACCTTACCCATGAAATGCGGTATACAGACCAAAACAGCTAGGATAGCCAGGCCAAAATGATCAAAATACAAAAAAAAACCATCATTTTACTTAAAACCTGACCTAATTCGAAAATGTACTTAAAAAATACAATTATCGTAGCCAACCATTTGTTATTCTGAACAAACAAAACATGAGACCATTTGAACTACTTAAATTAATGAGAAATCTCTTCTACTAATCCCAATTAATTATAATCATTCTATTCCACTGCACATGGATTAACACCTTAGTCATGCCTAAGATATGACCAGAAATTTCACTTCTATACTATATTCTCTCAAAACTTTTCTTCATGCAATTAAATCATAATAATGAAAAACATTGTTTTAAAAATATTATTTATAATTAATATGTTATAACCAATTAAGGCACACTGGAGAAGTTGGTTAAATACAACATAATATATAAATAAAGTAAACATAAAATGAGACATACAAAAAGAGAAACATTACAATGAAATGTGTTAAATGTGTATATAATAAAGTAGCAAAAGAAAAAAATATAATAATTAATCAAATAACACTTGACTTTTGGATGATCTGAACTTTCTATACTGAACATAAAAATGTCATTCATTTTGTTTTTCAAGTCAGTAGAATTTAAATCTAGCAATAATATTACGTTTTATAGGACTGAATGCAAGAAATATTTTTGTTTAAAAAACATGGATAATAAAGTCACTAAAGTATACCAGCTTAATTCTTAATAATCCACTGTAGAGGGCCAAAGAAAACCAATATAAAAACGCCTAAAAAGATTTTTGTTGTATTTTTCGCGTTCATCTCGCTTTTGTTAGATTTACGAAATTGATTCGTGAGCCGTTTAATCCATTCTATAGAGTACTGATATAAATATGCCAAAAAAATATTTTATACGTTTTTGTTCGCTTTGTTTTCGCTTATGGTTTAGGAGCTTAATTTGCCAATCCACTCTGGAGGGCCGATCCTTTAGAAAACGACAATAAAAACACCGAAAGAGATTTTTCTTTCGTTTTTTTTTTCGTTTATATAGCTTATTTTGAGGTTTAGGGCTTAATTTTAAAGCAATCCACTCCGGGCCAGTCCTAAATAAAAAGAGGATAAAAATACCTAAAATGATTTTTCATTCGGTTTTTAATTTTTTTAAATCTTGTTTATTTTGAGGTTTACGACCTTATTCATAATCGATAATTATTCATAATTCATTGTCGACTTAGAATGATCGATTCTATAGAAAACATTTTTTTTGCGTTCATCCTGCTTCTTTAGATTTACATACTTAATTTGTGAGCTGATTGATCTGGATGACTGATTCTATACAAAACTGATATAAATATGGCAAAAAAAGATTTTTGTCTTCTTTTTTTGCATTATTATAAATGTGTGGTGATTAGTGACCGTTAGTCGATGATTATTCAGAAATCGTAAGATGCGGCCTGGTGTGGTGTAGGTTTCATAAAAACATTTTCTTTATCCTGCCAACGTTTCGATCTTTATTGAGATCATCTTCAGGGCTCAAAGTTTGTTTTCTGTGCAATAGTGCCATTCTTGCGTGTCGTGTTGAGAGTGTGACACGAATTATTATAAATTATAAATTCATCGATAAAAGTTTGGTTTCTAATGTTTATCTCCCGCTTATTTGAGAATTAGTTTACTTTTTGCGCCAATCCACTCAGGAAGGAAGATTTTATAAGTAATGAGTAAATTACGCCTAAAACTAGTACCTACAAATATTCTGTCAAGACGAATCTGTCAAAATTAAGTCATAATAATGAACAATAGTTTTAAAAAAATGGGTATAAAATCACCAAGGAATCGGAAGGGAAAGTCGATCTAACAAGTCTGTTGTGAGAAGGTTGTTTTAAGGAGCAACCCACATCCGATTGTAATGACCAAAGGTTGTGTCACACTCCAATTCCTCCCAACCTTATACTTCAGACTTATCGCAATAGCGGATCGACATTGATAGTGATGTAGTTTTGAACGTGGTGTCATAACTCCCCTGGGGGAAACTGTTTACAAAACAAAAAAATAACGACTATCATTACGGAAGAGTGTATTTAATTTTAGATGAGAAGGATTAAAAATAGGATGTTTTAATAAACTAAACCTTTGCGACACTAGGATCGATTTTTTCCACAAAAAAATAAACACTCGTTACCGTTTTATGACCCTTTTTATTAGTTTTTTTCCAACTGTATTCATAACATGTTTGCCTCTAAGACTGATTGCATGACTGGCGTGATTAATTAATAGTACAAAAGAAATACTTCCAACCTCATCGACAGCGTGGAGGTGACCTCTGCAATAATTTGAGTAATGAATCATTCACGTGAAAGATATTGGGTCACGCAATTTTTTTTTCACGCAGGGGCTCGGCCAAAGATAAATCCTCGTTTAAACCCTTTGAAATTGCACATAAAATACTGTGAAATCGCGTTTCGAACAACGCCCATTTGTTACGTTCGGTCTTCACAATTATCAGGATGTTTGTTGAGCATCAGCACTTTCATTGCTGATTTCATAGAAACTGTAATCTTAGAGGAGTGATAATTTCATGTTCATGAGCGATTTCTATAATTTTCTTTAACAAGAACAACGTCTTAACAAGTTTTCTTTTCATTATAATTTTCATTTCGAAGAATAATAAAAGTCTTATTAAAAAAAAATTCATTTTATTTTATATGCATGTATTTAAGCTGTTTTTATTATTGACTAAAATATCAGAACAATCTGAAATTTTGGTCAACAATAAAAATTGTTTATAGCATACTTAAAACAAAAATGGATGCCTAAACAACTAAGTCGGGAGGGAAATTAAACTTGAAGATCATCTTTTCCTCGAAACATGGAAAGCCCATATTAAATCGTTAGGGATAGGGCATACAAGGATTACTCATGGCCATCCTATCATCAAGGAAGATGCCGCCATTGAGGTGGGTGTTGCAATTAAACATACAGACAAGCTTTAAAACGTGAAGATCCAAATCGTTTTCACGAAATTCCATGAGACGATACTATTATAAGTAAACAAATTGGCATAAGCATAATGAGTCTGAGCGCCCTTCGGCCTGGGGGGTCTAGGGCAGGACAGGGCGCAGTCACTCCTCAGATTTAGGAGAAATGTGGATGGCGACACTGCAGGAATCTGAATAATACATATACGTAAAATAAGTCCCTAGCGTTTTTCAATAATTCGACTTTATCCATTTTGTGTTTTCAGGCAACTTTTAAACTCTGAAAACGGATTAATTTAAGTGATTTTATTTATTCAGTTTGGTCGGAGAACTCCAATTTTACACGGTGTTTTGATAATTCAAAAACAACAAAATTTTTTGTTAAACCTCAAGAGGAAAACCGCAACTAAGAATGTAGGAAAATTTATGATGTGTATGATGATGACCGCTTTAGGAGAAAGCACTGTCAGTTGGTGGTTTTCTCGGTTCAGAAGCAGAAAATTAGATTTGGAAGACGAGAAGAGCTCTGGGCTTACTTCCAACTGCTGAAGATGACCGAATTCAAGCTTTTTCTACTAATACTGTAAATATTGTAACACGAGACATGGCAGAGATGCTGCGTTGGAATGTGACCGCCGCTGAATAATTCTGTCGTTGCGATACATGGGGTTTTGTTCAATAAGTTTATTGTACTCCATCTCCATCTGCGTCCACGAAAAACGCAATGTAAACGACCCATTTTTACATAGATTGATGGCAGATGAAAACTGGGTCCTTTACATGTTCAGAATCCTGAGGAAAAAAACGCAGCGACACACCGTTAACAATTCCACAAGCCGGATTTCATTCCAACAAGATGGTTTATTTGGTGGGGCTGGACAAGGTGCTTTATTATTCCGCCCAACCAACTCATCTTCTAGCGTATAGGGCACACATTCTTCACATTCAAAATCAGCCTGACCAAAGACGGTGAATACTGGCTAATCGCAAGGGGATTGTTTTTCACAACAAAGCTCAAGTGAATTTGGAGAGCTTGGCTGGGATATGCAACCTCACCCCAACCCTTTACTATAAAATCGATCATCCTGATTGGCAAACGAATTAAGCTCGTAATCTAAAAATAAGCTTGAACAACGAAGAAAAATCAAGCTAGCATTTTGATACTCCTTTTCTATGAAATCCTGAGTCGATTGGCGCCCGAATTGGACGTAAGGATCTGTCATTTGGAATTCATACTCGCGATAACTAATTGAAGCATTGGAGGCTGTACTGAGACGGTTTTTACGTCCACATTTAGTTTAGGGAGTCTGGAGTAATTGGTACTCTATAATCTCCACCAAGAAATGATTG